TGGCAGAATGCTTCCAAATTCACAGTGTTTCCTCGGGGAGGGCCCCCGATACCCTGCATGCTTCGGTGCCTCTGCCGGAGCCCTGGAAGGGGTGTCTGGGGAAGGTGGGCAAAAGCTGTTTAAAATGCCAAAAATAGGCCCGAGATGCTGACCCGCGGGTGAAGTCTCCAAAAGTGGCAATATTGGGCATTGGGCAGAATGCTTCCAAATTCTCAGAGAGTGCTCGGGAACTGCCCCCTATACCCTACATGCGCCGGTGCATCTGCCGGAGCCCTGGACTGGTGCCTGGGGAAGGCGAGCAAAATCTGTCCAAAATGCCAAACATATGCCGGAGATGCTGACCCACGGGTCACGACTCCGAAAGTGGCCAAATTGGGCGGTTGGCAGAATGCTTCCAAGTTCGAAGAGTTTGCTCGGGGAGGGCCCCCGATACCCTGCATACCTCGGTGCCTCTGCCGGAGCCCTGGAAGGGGTGTCGGTGGAAGGTGGGCAAAATCTGTTTAAAATGCCAAAAATAGGCCGGAGATGCTGAACCGCGGGTCACAACTACGAAAGTGGAAAATTGGGCGGGTGGAAGAATACTTCCAAATACACAGTGTTTGCTCTGGGAGGGCCCCCAGTGCCCTACATGCTTCGGAGCCTCTGCCGGAGCCCTGGAAGGGGAGCCTGGGGAAGTCGAGAAAAATCTGTCCAAAATGCCAAAAATAGGCACGAGATGCTGACCCGCGGGTCACGATTCCGAATGTGGCAAAATTGGGCGGATGGCAGAATGCTTCCAAATTCACAGAGTTTGCTCGGGGAGGGCCCCCGATACCCTGCATGCCTCGGTGCCTCTGCCGGATCCCTGGAAGGGGTGTCTGGGGTAGGTGGGCAAAACCTGTCCAAAATGCCAAAAACAGGCCCGATATGCTCACCCGCGGGTCACAACTCCGAAAATGGCAAAATTGGGCACTGGGCAGAATGCTTGCAAATTCGCAGAGTTTGCTCGGGAACTGCCCCCTATACCCTGCATGCGTCGGTGCCTCTGCCGGAGCCCTGGAAAGTGCCTCTGTGGAAGTCGAGCAAAATCTGTCCAGAATGCCAAAAATAGGCCCGAGCTGCTGACCCGCGGATCACGACTCCGAAAGTGGCAAAATTGGGCGGTTGGCAGAATGCTTCCAAATTCACAGAGTTTGCTCCGGGAGGGCCCAAGATACCCTGCATGCCTCGGTTCCTCTGCCGGAGCCCTGGAAGGGGTATCTGGGGAAGGTGGGCAAAATCTGTTTAAAATGCCAAAAACAGGACCGAGATGCAGACCCGCAGGTCACAACTCCAAAAGTGGAAAAATTGAGCGGGTGGAAGAATACTTCCAAATTCACAGTGTTTGTTCTGGGAGGGACCCCGATACCCTACATGCTTCGGAGCCTCTGCCGGAGAGCTGGAAGGGGTGCCTGGGGAAGTTGAGAAAAATCTGTCCAAAATGCCAATATAGGCACAAGATGCTGACCCGCGGGTCACGATTCCGAAAGTGGCAAAATTGGGCGGTTGGCAGAATGCTTCCAAATTCACAGAGTTTGCTCGGGGAGGGCCCCCGATACCCTGCATGCCTCGGGGCCTCTGCCGGAGCCCTGGAAGGGGTGTCTGGGGAAGGTGGGCAAAATCTGTTTAAAATGCCAAAAATAGGCCCGAGATGCTGACCTGCGGGACACTAATCCGAAAGTGGAAAAATTGGGCAAGTGGAAGAATACTTCCAAATTCACAGTGTTTGCACGGGGAAGGCTCCCAATACCCTACATGCGTCGGAAACTCTGCCGGAGCCCTGGAAGGGGAGCCTGGGGAAGTCAAGCAAAATATGTCCAAAATGCCGAAAATAGGCCCGAGATGCTGACCCGCGGATCACGACTCCGAAAGTGGCAAAATTGGGCGGTTGGCAGAATGCTTCCAAAGTCACAGTGTTTTCTCGGGGAGTGCCCCCGATACCCTCCATGTGCCGGAAACTCTGCCGGAGCCCTGGAAGGGGCCTATGCGTAAGTCGAGCAAAATCTGTCCAAAATGACAAAAACAGGCCCGAGTTGCTGACGTGCGGGTCACGACTCCGAAAGTGGCAAAACTGGGCGGTTGGCAGATGGCTTCCAAATTCACAGAGTTTGCTTGGGGAGGGCCCCCGATACCCTACATGCAACGGAAACTCTGCCGGAGCCCTGGCAGGGGCCTATGGGGAAGTCGAGCAAAATCTGTCCAAAATGCCAAAAATAGGCCCGAGCTGCTGACCCGTGGGTCACGACTCCGAAAGCGGCAAAATTGGGCACTGGGCAGAATGCTAGCTAATTCGCAGAGTTTGCTCGGGAACTGCCCCCTATACCCTGCATGCGTCGGAGCCTCAGCGGGAGCCCTGGAACAGGCCTCTAGGGAAGTCGAGCAAAATCTGACCAGAATGCCAAAAATAGGCCTGAGCTGCTGACCCGCGTGTCACGACTCCGAAAGTGCCAAATTGGGCGGTTGGCAGAATGCTTCCAAACTCACGGAGTTTGCTCGGGGACGGCCCCCGATACCCTGTATGCCTCGGCGCCTCTGCCGGAGCCCTGGAATGGGTGTCTGGGGAAGGTGGGGAAAATCTGGTTAAAATGCCAAAAATAGGCCCGAGATGCAGACCCGCGGGTCACAACTCTGAAAGTGGAAAAATTGGGCGGTGGAAGAATACTTCCAAATTCACAGTGTTTGCTCGGGGATGGCCCCAATACCCTGCATGCGTCGCTGCCTCTGCCGGAGCCCTGGAAGGGGTGCCTGGGGAAGTCAAGCAAAATCTGTCCAAATGCCAAGAATCTGCCCGAGATGCTGACCCGCGGGTAACGACTCCAAAAGTGGCAAAATTGGGCGGTTGGCAGAATGGATCCAAATTCGCAGAGTTTGCTCGGGAGTGGCCCCCGACACCCTGCATGTGTCGGTGCCACTGCCTGAGCCCTGGAAGGGGTGTCTGGGGAAGGTGGGCAAAATCTGTCCAAAATGGCAAATGTAGGCCCGAGATGCTGACGCGCGGGTCACGACTCCGAAAGTGGCAAAATTGGGAGGTTGGCAGAATGCTTCTTAATTCACAGCGTTTGCTGGGGAGGGCCCCCGATACCCTGCATGCGTCGGTGCCTCTGCCGGAGCCCTGGAAGGGTTGCCCGGGGAAGTCGAGAAAAATCTGTCCAAAATGGCAAACAGGCCCGAGATGCTGACCCACGGGTCAAGACTCCAAAAGCGGCAAATTTGGGCATTGGGCAGAATGCTTCCAAACTCGCAGAGTTTGCTCGGGAACTGGCCCCTATATCCTGAATGCGTCGGTGCCTCTGCCGGAGCCCTGGAAGGTGCCTCTGGGGAAGTCGAGCAAAATCTGTCCAAAATGTCAAAAACAGGCGCCAGCTGCTTCCCGCGGGTACGACTCCGAAAGTGGCAAAATAGGGCGGATGGAAGAATACTTCCAAATTCACAGTGTTTGCTCGGGGAGGGCCCCCGATACCCTCCATGCATCGGAGCTTCTGCCGGAGCCCTGGAAGGGGAGCCTGGGGAAGTCGAGAAAAATCTGTCCAAAATGCCGAAAATAGGCACGAGATGCTAACCCGCGGGTCACGATTCGGAAAGTTGCAAAATTGGGCGGTTGGCAGAATGCTTCCTAATTCACAGAGTTTGCTCGGGGAGGGCCCCCGATATCCTGTATGCCTCGGTGCCTCTTCCGGAGCCCTGGAAAGGGTGTCTGGTGAAGCTGGGTAAAATCTGTCCAAAATGCCAAAAACAGGCCCGAGATGCTGGCCCTTGGGTCACAATTCCGAAAGTGGAAAATTGGGTGGTTGAAAGAATACTTCCAAATTCACCGTGTTTACTCGGGGAGGGCCCCCGATACCCTACACGCATCGGAAACTCTGCCAAAGCCCTGGCAGGGATGCCTGGGGAAGGTGGGCAAAATCTGTTTAAAATGCCAAAAATAGGCCCGAGCTGCTGACACGCGGGTCACGACTCGGAAAGTGGCAAAATTGAGCAGGTGGCAGAATGCTGCCAAATTCGCAGAGTTTGATCGGGGATGCCCCCCGCTACCCTGCATGCCTCGGTGCCTCTGCCGGAGCCCTGGAAGGGGTGTCTGGGGAAGTCGAGCAAAATGTGTCCAAAATGCCAAAAATACGCCCGAGCTGCTGACCCGCGGGTCACGACTCCGAAAGTGGCAAAATTGGGCAGGTGGAAGAATGCTTCCAAATTCACAGAGTTTGCTCGGGGAGGGCCCCCGATACCCTGC